CCACCTCTTGTGGTTATGGCGTTAACCTTTTCAAGGTTAGTGGCAAAAGGCAGAGCAGCGACCAATTGGGCTAATTGTAATTATATATTTTTATTATAGCTAAGTTGGTCTTTTATGGCAGAAGAAAAACTATCAATTTTAGTACTTATGTTTTCTAGGACCTTATCATTAAAAGCTAGCTTTTTAGAAATGTTCTCATTAATCTTGGCTTGTTCTAAGATTAGATCTCTCAAGGATGGTTGCTTGGAACTAGAAGAATTATAGTAATTTGCTGGGTACTTGCCTTGTGTAGCAGAACCGTTCAATTTATAAGAGCACAAGTATAATAGCAGCCCACAAGCGGTCGCACTGTCATACTTGAGCCCATATAAACCTGGTAGTCCATCGAGTACGGAAGGGTCTCGATTCAACCAACATACAACCAAGATCGTACAAGATTCAACATAGATGTCACACGTTACATAAAGTTCACAAATATTGTTACATACATTAGAGTAAGATTAAAAGTTATTACAAACTAAGTTCAAGTAAAATATTAGTGAAAGCAAATAAAATTTGAAACCAAACCAACATCCTTTCATTTCAAATACGGTGCCGACTCATCATCATATTTTCACAAAAGCATTGATTTCAAATACCTTGGTGCTACTCCTCGACTCATGATCATATTTCCACAAAAGCATAAGAGAGGGATTATCATGAGACGCCTTGCATCATAAACCCTACTCCTCGTCCAAGGCTTTATAAGTGAAGCTAGCTTGACAATATTTTGCATAAATTGACTAATTTAGTTGTACATATATAATTCGGTCATCAAGAGCTTGACTAAGTCTTTGTGTATACATTTAGTATATATATATACTTTCCATGTTTATTAGAACCATAGCATAACTAACTTACTACGATATTGAGGCTAGTTAAGTTTATCGGCAATTATGCATAAGGAATATTACTAAAAGGAAGATCAAACAGAGCTTGACTCCCTTCTCCACATTTCGCGGGTTTGACTAGCGCCCGCACAATCGGGGACAACCAAGCTGCCAGGGGTTCTACTTGTTCTACAAATGGGGAGTGGACTACAGAGGACTCAATGAGAATGTCACACTCGCGATCTACCACATGGCCCGGAGTGTAGAGTGCATCCGTAGGCAAATAATATTTAAGCACCTCACTTACATATTGTCGACCACTTAACCCACTCGAGTATTGAGTTAAGCGCTTTACGAACATATGTATAAATTCATCATCAATCATGACTATATCAAGTATATCACCAAAGCAAACTAGGAACATAATAGATAGAAACATAGTATTGAAGTAGCACAAAGTCAAAATATAGAGGGATACAATGGCTTTACCAGTCTCCAGACGGTGAATCCAGAATCCTGAGCAATAGTCCAACTCTACTTGAATCTTGCTAGCTTGCATATACTAGAACTTGAAGAATTAGAGCTCTATTCTCTTCTCTTTGAAAACCCTAATTTCTGATCTGATCTTGGCTTATGATCGAATGTCTCAGGATGGGGGGTAGGGGTTGGTATATATAGGTCAGAGCATCAATCCTAGATTCTTAGATCAAACTAACTTGAAAGAACGGCGTAGATGCAATCTGGGAGGCGGTGGAGAACCGACGTTCAAAGGAGGGACTTCCAGGTGGGGATAGGGGGTCGGTCGGCCTACAGGTGGGGCCGGCCAGCCCCACCTATCATCCTCCCACAGTCTGCTTTGGGGGATGCCTTCTGGTGATATTTTCATCATAGATAATTGTGATTTAATTTGACGATTTGATCCACCTTGACGGTTTTCTGGATAAACCTTACCGAAAATATAGATTCACCAAAACTTATAGAAATTGTCAGTTTAAACCCTTAAATCTAGGTTGGTGATTATTTTTATGCATTTATTCAAGTTATGTTGATGGTTCTTGATGGATGATAACTACCGTTAACAACAACCGATCCTGGATAGCTCAGCTCAAGGGAGGGGTCACGGTCTTAGCGATTCATGAATACCTCCGCATCTGGGACGACTTGTAGGAAATCCAACTGACCGATGAGGAAGACTGGATGATATGGAGATGAATAGTAGACAGGATATACTCCTCACGCTCTGCTGACTGGGCCCTACATTCGGCATCGCACCCAATACCAGGTTGTGATAGGATATGGGGAACTTAGGCGCCACTGCGAGTCAAGATCTTCCTCTAGCTTTTTTGAATAAGTTAGGCACTAAATTAGGCTGTTACTCATGAAGACGCCACTAGATAGCCGAAGCGGGCGATGAAAATGGCGGCAAGTAAACCAACACGGCATGGCCTCGGCGTCCCGAGATCATCGCCACATGCACTTGTATAAGCGACCGTGAGAGCGAAACATTGGTTCGCATCGACCACATCATTGTGTCATGCTCCTTCTCCAGGCAGGTATGGTGGAATATCTTGGCCGTGCTTGGAGCTAATGCGGCCCAAATCGGCAGAGAATCTATTCTAGCTTGGTGGGATGCTTGGAGATGGCGCTAGAATGGTGACAAAAGGAAGGGAGCGAACTCTCTATTCGCGCTGGTGGCATGGGAATTGTGGAAAGAGCAAAACACGAGATGCTTCCGCGAAACCGCCTCCACTATCCCCCAGGTGCTATCAATCACCAGACGCGTCGCCAACCAATGGATCAATGCAGGGGCATCCAACCTAGGTTGTCTAGTACGCGAGGAGTGAAATACGAGATGCTTCCGCGAAACTGCCTCCCACTATCCCCTAGGTGCTATCAATCATTAGACACATCGCCAACCAATGGATCAATGCAGGGGCGTCTAACCTAGGTTGTCTAGTGTAAGGAAAATGGAGTTTAGGCCCATTTACTTTGGATTTTGATGTTTGATGACCAACACAACTAAATTGGACTAATGAATTTCTAAGTGATTGTTTTGTAGTTCAATAGGATGCAAGACGTGACTTGGACGAAGGCAACATGATGATCCGATGATCAACACCTTAAGCAAGACCCTAAAAGCATAAGAGAGGATCCAAGATATCAAGCAAAGTCCAGAGCACGAAGATAGGAACTAAGCCGGACGTAAGATCGCGAAGAAACGAGCTTCACAGAGATGACTGGACGCGGCCCTTATAGCGATTGGACGCGACGATGATACTATTCACTATCACGACAATAGCTCAGCACTGACCAGATATTGGCGGATAATGGACCGCACGCAGAGAGGCGAAAACATAGATTCACCAAAACGTCCGTCGAGTCGCAGAGGTTCAGGAGAGCGGTGATAAGCGCGATCGGACGCGTCCGATCATTCACTAATGACCGGACTCGAGCTGAGGATGATGTGTGTCCGATCAGCAGCGCTTCCAATGGTTGGGATGACTAGGCGCGTCAAGGGGGCAGAAGACACCACAGATAGCGAGAAGGCGATTCATGCATGGCCTCGTCCCGGTCGATGCGAGCGAAACCATCGACCACAAGTTGGTTTTCGAATGGTATGGTGGAATATCTTGGCGTGCTTGGAGCTAATGCGCCCAAACAGACTACTTTCTCGGTGGAGCTTATAAATAGACCCTCAACCGGCCATTTAAGATGTGGAGAGCTGAGGAAACATACCAAGGGTGTTGGTATACCATTTTAGTGATCTCCATTTGCATTGTGCTTAATGATTTATTTGGTGATTAATGTAGATGCTTTTGTGAAGTGCTTAGGTTGATTAGACCACCGCTTTATGCGCTTGCTCTAGATTTAAGCCTAGTGTTTAGTGAGATTTGCATACCTCTTACCACTCGCCCTTACCTAGCGCGCTTTCATTGTTGTACATCGAAGGGGCTTGTAGTCTTGCGAGATCATACCAACCACATTTATGGTGTGACCGCCACTGTGTACCGGAGCAGGGAACAACAAGGCCTGACGGTGGAGCTTATAAATAGACCTAGAAGTTTGATAGTGAAGACGAGGGTGAGAGCATCCGGGATAGGAGGCTGATTCATTTGGTGAAGCATGCTTTTGCGTCGGAGACCCACTTGCTAGGTTTAAGCGTGGGGAAGACCCGAGACTATCCACGGAGTTACCCTTGACCGGAGCTTGGCCCCTGCGAGGATTCCTTGCGGAGGAGGGCTCCAACGAGGATTAGGAAGAAGCTTACGCGCTTCTCGATAAGTTATCGACGGGAGTTTGCATATCTCTACCTTACTCTTTAGCTTCTACATTTACATTGTTTGCATAACTCCTTTTGCGGTAGAGATAGTAACACACTAGCTAAAACCGTAGTTGCACATTTTAGATAGTTTATTTTTTTGCATAGGTTTTAACTAGGTAGAGAAAAGACCATAGTTTAGAGTTAGAGTTTTAAGTTACCTAATTCACCCCCCTCTTAGGCGTCTCGGTCTCTTTCATCTAGTACGCGAGTAGTCGGCTTTGGATCCCTCGCTAGGGAGGGTATGCTTAAATGTAACATCATTTGTCCTCCTTATGACGCGTTGTGTAAAACACACGTATTTTTTTTTTAAAACCGCAGTACCGGCAAACTGCCAAGGTTTAGCCGAGCTGAGAGACCGAGGACGACATCATGTCGGATCTCGCTGTCGCTACGACGCCTCACACGGTCACACCATACGCGGGCGGCTGCGCGCGAACCGCAGGCCGTAAACCGAAACGAAGCCAGCCTCGGCAGCCCGGCACGGCATCGATCCAGTCGAGTAGCATAAATACGGGGCCGTGTGCCGTTGCCGTTGGCTCTCTGCAGGACATTCGCTGTCCGCCCCCACAGAACTCCAACTGAAGAGGCGATCCGGACAGCAACGGCGGAGAACCCCACGCCACGCACGCTCATCTCCTCGCCTGGTAAACCACTCCGCGGACCGGCAGCCCGGCACCGGGCGCGCACGGCGCGAAATGGATGAGTAGCCGGTAACCAACCACTGCGCGTCCGATCAGATCGAGCAGCCGTGTGTCTGTCTCTGTGCGGTGTCCACGTACGAGCACCGAGCGGGAGGGGCGCCCGAGGCCATGGCGCCCGCCGCGTTCGACGCCGAGGCCGGCGCCACCAACGGCAACGGCGTCAGCCACGGCGCCAAGCCGGGGCTCCCGGCCGGGGCAGATGCCTTCGACGCCGGCGCCGCCTTCGTGCTCGAGTCCAAGGGTACGCACGCGCGCACGCATGCTCCCCGACTTCGCGAGAGTTAGTGGCGGGCCGGCCGGGCAACTGATCGGCGAATAATCCGTGGATTTCTGACCGGTTCGTCGCCGCGCGCGCGCCGGCTTTACTTTGCAGGGACGTGGTGGCACGCGGGGTTCCACCTGACGACGGCGATCGTGGGGCCGACGGTGCTGACGCTCCCCTACGCGCTGCGCGGGATGGGGTGGGCGCTGGGCCTGACGCTGCTCTCCGCCATGGCCGCCGTCACCTTGTACGAGTACTCCCTCATGTCCCGCGTCCTCGACCACTGCGAGGCGCGCGGGCGGCGCCACATCCGCTTCCGCGAGCTCGCCGCCGACGTCCTCGGTAAGTAAAGTACGTGCTGCGCTGCGCCTCTCTCTCGGCAACTAACCCAACCCAACATCAACCACCGCCATCCACTTCCTTCCTTCCCCATCCATCCATCCATCCATCCCCACGTGTTGGGTGCATCGCCCACGACAGCGGCGTCAATGCCGCAAGGCGCACCCCACACTCTTGGGGTCTTGGCCCTCTCGCGATCGCCTCGCGTAAGTTGCGGTTGTGTGCACGCCATGGGCACGCACGGGAAAGCCACTCAGTGTGTATTACAGTACCAGCTAGCGTTGCTGTGCTGGTGCCGCCCGGGCGGCCCTCCTGTCCGGCATGCTAGTTGCTGCCATTAAATTAGCATCGTCCGTGCGTTGCTGTGCCTGTGGATTGTGGTGACCTACTGCTGATTGAATTTGTGATTTGTGTTTGGTGGACATGAACATGATGTGTTATCCCGTACCGTACGTGCGCAGGATCCGGGTGGATGTTTTACTTCGTGGTCACCGTGCAGACCACCATCAACACCGGCGTCAGCATCGGCGCCATCCTGCTCGCCGCCGACTGCCTCGAGGTGCGCCGCCCGTCGTTGCATCCAAGAACGCATCAGATAATTAATGAATTCATTGTGTCCATATACTGCTTGCAATCAGCCTGATCGTTTCGGCTGAATTGGCTTATAAGTCATGGCTGAAAGTTCTGCTAGCTGGTTTGATGTGAGAGAAAAATACTGTTCAAGCCGTGGATTATAAGCCAAATACGAGCAAATAAGCCGAAACGAACAGGGTTTTTTTACTGTTTTATTATACTGTCAGTGAGCTGTGCAATTTTTGACGTGGTCTTCTTACACGTCCTTTCTTGAACCGTATTAATATATGTCTTCCATGTGAATATCCTCCTGAGTCCTGACAAGGACAGGACCAGGCCAAAATAACTGATCCGTATTCACAACAACAAACGAAGTCCTTCTGTCAGAAAGTATTTCAGTAGTTGTTTCACACTAGTTGCTAGCACTCAGCATACTTTAGTCTAGGAAAGTTAAGAAAAATGAATTTTGGAACATCAAGTTACTGTTACACTCAGTACGTTTAACCGCACAAATATTCTTACCTTATGTCAAGAAAATAAAAAAATAGCTTATTCTCTGTCAGAAAGTAGTTCAGTACGCAGTAGTTTCTATCCTTTTTAAGGGGGAAAAAAAGAATTTTGGAACAGCAAGTTACAGTTACACTCAGAACATTTAATTGCACAATATTCTTACCATACGTCAAGACAAGAAAAATAAATCAAACAATAACTTGCTCTCTGTTGTGCCCAATTGCTCACATCATCGACTGCATTTTTTTTTCTGATCTTTCGTGGTGTGCCCAAACAGATTATGTACACGAGCCTTGCTCCACATGGTCCCCTGAAACTGTACCACTTCATCATCATGGTGGCCGTGGTGCTGGCCTTCCTCTCCCAGCTACCGTCTTTCCACTCACTGCGGCACATCAACTTCGTCTCACTGCTCCTGAGCCTGGGCTACACCATCCTTGTGGCAGCTGCTTGCATTCGTGCAGGTAATATTTACCTGAACCCTCCTTGCATCGTGTACATGCTCCACTGTCACTGTCAAATCCCAGTACCTTTGTAGAGAACTACTTGATCCTGTTGGGGGAGAATTAGATTCCTATAGAAAAGGCCAAAACATTTAGGTTGACATATTAGGGGAACCAGATGCTAGTTACACCCGCAGCTTTTCCATTATGCTTTGTTGCTTCGTCTGCATAAACTCACTCGCAATGGTGTGTCGACACCTTAGCACCGTGGAGTTAGTCTGGCAGTCTTCAAGGGAACACAAAAATGATGCTTAAACGATGTCGGTTTCGTGGCAAATGTTGCGTTTACAATTGTTACCTACAGGAATGTCTACGAGATCAATAGTCTTCTAAGGAATGCCATTGCATGATTTTAATTGGGAATTAGGAAGGGTTTTTGGAGAATACATAATTAAGGAAGCTCATGTCTAGGAATTTAAGTGTTTGGCAAAAAAAAGAAGAAGAAGAAAGAATTTAACCAGCCGTGTTAGCTGTACTTCACATTTTCAAAGTTCTGTCAGCGATACCTGATATATCTATATGGGTCTCCTTGGTGTTTTAGAACACCAGTTATTTGGGTGTCTTTTGTTCAATGTGTTTCATGGAGACCATTAACTTTCCCAGAGCCTGTTGAGTGGTATGCTACTACTAGCGTTTAATTATGTCTTCATTAATTCTTGACAGGCTTGTCCAAAAATGCTCCTGCGAAGGACTACTCGCTAAGCTCGTCCAAGTCCGAGCAGACCTTCGACGCTTTTCTATCCATTTCCATCCTCGCATCCGTCTTCGGCAACGGCATACTGCCTGAAATCCAGGTATATTTAACATTTTGCACTTTCTGAGATAGTTTTTTTTAGGGGATCTGAGATAGTTAAAATCTGAATTAAATAGGCATAACCAGCTCTGGTTTCCTGTTAGAAAATTGATCAAGCTGGAGTAGATCCTAATCCCAGTTGCCAATTGCCAAAGAAGAATATATATTGGACGAAATCTTACTCCCGGCCCATGTCTTGTCCCAAAAAAGCATGAATGCATGATATTGGGCTGTGGTAAACTGACAAACCGGGCTGGGCTCCTTGCTCATTGAGCTAGTATCAGGAGGCCCATGACATGAATATATATTGGACGAAATCTTACTCCCGGCCCAACATATTTGAATTCGACCATTTCTTCAGGCAACGTTGGCGCCACCGGCAGCGGGGAAGATGATGAAGGCGCTGGTACTGTGCTACTCCGTCGTCGTCTTCACCTTCTTCCTCTCGTCGATCACCGGGTACTGGGCCTTCGGCAGCCACGTGCAGTCCAACGTCCTCAAGAGCCTCATGCCGGACTCTGGCCCCGCGCTCGCCCCGACGTGGCTGCTGGGCGTCTCGGTCCTCTTCGTCCTCCTCCAGCTCCTCGCCATCGGCCTCGTCTACTCCCAGGTGGCGTACGAGATCATGGAGAAGAGCTCAGCCGACGCGGCCCAGGACCGCTTCTCGCGCCGGAACCTCGTCCCGCGCCTGCTGCTGCGGACGCTGTACCTGGCCTTCTGCGCGCTCATGGCCGCCATGCTCCCGTTCTTCGGCGACATCGTGGGCGTGGTAGGCGCCATTGGGTTCATCCCTCTCGATTTCGTGCTCCCCGTGCTCATGTACAACATGGCGCTCGCGCCGCCGCGCCAGTCCCCGGTCTTCCTCGCCAACATGGCCGTCATGGTCGTTTTCGCCGGCGTAGGGGCCATGGGCGCCTTCGCCACCATCCGCAAGCTCGCGCTGGACGCCGACAAGTTTAAGCTCTTCAGCAACAATGTTGTTGACTGAACTTTGAAGGCATCTTACTCTTGATCTAGGGTGTTTATGTACGTCCATATATAGTAGTCGCATTGACAGTTGTTGTAGTGTTATTTGTGAATAATTAGTGTGTGCTCTGTGCACAGGCACTCGAGTATAGGCAAATCATCATATAAACGAATTGAACGGGAACAGGCCACGAGCACGAGCCTGACTAAGCACAACAAGCCAGCATATCAACGAACAGGCTATCAGAAATGCTCGCGGTGTAAAGCATACGCATACGCTTTATTTTGGGTTAATTGGAGAAACGGCATTATAATTTTCGATGTTCGGAGAAACTTCATTACTATTCGTCTATTTTAAAGCATGCCATTACAATTCTTTGTTTCCCACAAAAATACCACTGAATACGTATGGACCACTAGTAGAGAACAGACCTTTCATCCGAAGCTAAAATGGGCTCTAGTCCCGGTATTTTTTGCGCCCGGGACTAGAGAGACCTTTAGTCCCGGTTGGTGTCTCCAACCGGGACTAAAGGACTTCAACGCTCGGCCCCCATGTCATCTTCTTCTTCCTCCTCCTCCTCTCTCCAACCTTTCTCTCGGTTGGTAATACCAACCGGGACTAAAGGTGACCTTTTAGTCCGGGTTGATGTTACCAACGGGGCGCCCTTTAGCGGCAGTAACACCAAGCGACCCGCGATGAGTTAGTTCAAAAGGAAAGCATCCCATCTATTGTTAGAGTAGGTGGGGTGGTAAGCTACACGCAGGCGGTGCATGAGGTCTTGGGTTCAAATCTCACGGGGACGCAGCGGTGGGAGGCATTATTTTTTAAAGCTGGGAGGATCTTTTAGTCCGGTTGTGGCAAACCGGGACTAAAGAACAACATCTTTAGTCCCGATTGCTAGTCCGTTGGGAAAGCGGGAGTAGAACTAGTTCCCAACCGGGACTAGATCTCATTTCTCCACTAGTGGCGTGTGTGAGCTCGGTGCTGGCGTATACAAAAGCGTCATCATGCGACGCGCGGCCCCCCATGTCATCTTCTTCTTCCTCCTCTCCTCCTCTCTCTCATCCCGCGAGCCACGGCCACGGCGAGCAGCAGCACGCCAGCAGAGCGCTTGAGTAGTAAAGAAGACGAGAAGCAGCAACGGCGGCAGAAGAAAGACGCCGAAAGGTGAGTTCCAGCAGGCGAAGTTAGAGGCGCAGGCGCATGAAGCAAGCAGCATGGCAAAGCCAGCGAGGAGGCGCGCGAGCGAGCTCCAGCAATGGCGGCGTGTGTGAGCTCGTCTTGTGGCGTGCATGGAGATGGGCGCGAAGCACGGCTAGCGGTGGATGGGCGAAGCGAGAAGCAGCAGAACACCAGCCGCTGGCGAGCTCAGAGCGAGTGTGCAAGCGAGCTCGCTTGTCGGCAGTAAGCAGCAGAGCTCAGCGGCAGCGCGCGGCTCGCAGCAGCGCGGCGCCTAAGCGGGACGCCAGCGAAGCAAGAAGACGCCGCGGCAAGCGCAGCAGACGCGTCGGTCGAGCCGCGAGCTGCTGGCGCGCTGCATCGCGTCCTCGGCCTTGCCGGACGAAGCTCTGATCGCCGCGCCCCTTGCGCGGTGTGGCGCTCTGTCGCGGTTGCTCGCCCCATGGCTTGGGTCACGACATCGGTTCGTCAGCTCGCCCGCAAACCCGCAGCCGCCGCCGCCGACAGCGCCCGCCGTGGCCGCGTCGGGATGGAGGGAGAGAGCCGGAGAGAGAGGAGAAGAGGAGGAAGAAGATGACATGTGGGGCCCATGTGTCAGTGACAGGGGAGATGAAGTATACGTCTTCGTATACGCCTGCAGCTGGGCCCAGGCTATGTCCATACGTATTCAGTGGCATTTTTGTGGGAAACGAAGAATTATAATGGCATGCTTCAAAATAGACGAATAATAATGGCATTTCTCCGAACATCGAAAATTATAATGGCGTTTCTCCGATTAACCCCTTTATTTTCCATCGCTGTTGTAGCGAGTGTGCAGGAGGCCATTAGCAATAATAAATAGAGTAAAATTCACGTGCTTCTCAAACTTGGCAAGAGTGTCATCCAGATCCTCTACACCCCCCTCCGAACATCGAAAATTATAATGGCGTTTCTCCAATTAACCCCTTTATTTTCCATCGCTGCTGTAGCGAGTGTGCAGGAGGCCATTAGCAATAATCAATAGAGTAAAATTCACGCGCTTCTCAAACTTGGCAAGAGTGTCATCCAGATCCTCTACCCCCCCCCCTGTCATCCAGATCTTCTACCCCCCCCCACCACCACCAAAAAAAACCCTACATTTTTAGTCCCTAAACTTAACAAGGTATGTCATACCGATCCTCCAACTCAAGAATTGTCATTTATTACAAGTCGCAAAACTTGGCTACGGATGTCATGCATCCGAGTTCTAATAGGTCCTTACCTGCTTGCTGATAGGGCATGCTAATTATATGTTGATGTGGACCGACATGTAGGGTTTAGATGTCTGGTCGACCTCTCTTCTTCCACACACAGCGGTGGAGCACACACTCCTATGAAACGACGTGTCGGCACAAAACCAAATGATTTCGTCGGTAGATTTGTTTGGGATAAACTAAAAAAAACTAGAGCTAAACTTTGTTGCAGAAGAGAGGGTCCCCTCTCCTTGCCATCAGAAGACTCGCTGGAGAGGAAAAAGGAGAGGGGCCCTAGACGGCGGTGGCTAGAGGGGGCTTTTCTTTTTCAGGCCTCTAGTGATGACTTCCCCATCTATTTTGTTGTGAAGCCCTCCTAAGTTGTGCAGCATGGCACATGCGGTTGCCGTCGACATGACGCTGCTTCTCCGTGGCCGTCACCGCCGACATGCCGCCGCCTTCGTCACTCTCGCACTAGACCCCGTTATCTAGTGCTTTGGTGGCAGGCTCACATTTCTGTTACTCGTCACCAACGAAGGGCTGCTCAACATTCTCGCCACTGCTGTCATTTGTTGGCATGTATGCGAGGCTGTGCTCCTCGTTTTATTTGTTGGCACGAAAACTAGGATCTTTCAACTAGAACAAGACGAAGGAGTAATTGAGGGAGAGGAAAACCTGAATAAGTTCATAACAAAGTATTATAAAGAGCTTTTTGGTGCCTCACAGATAAATGTCTTTTCTCTTGATGAGACACAGGTGGTGGATATTCCACAGGTCAGTGAGGCAGAAAATAACTTACTAACTGATGAGTTTACTGAGAAGGAAATGAGGGATGCCATTTTTCAAATAAAACGCAACAAAGCCCTGATGGTTTCCCAATGAAGTTTTACCAAGTATTTTGGAGTCTAATAAAAGATGACCTAATGGCCATGTCCAGAGATTTCCATAGTGGGACCTACCCCTTTTTAGCCTGAATTTTGGGATTATATCCCTGATACCTAAGTAGAAGGAAGTTAAAAAGATACAACAGTATAGGTCAATTTGCTATCTCAATGTTAATTTTAAGATTACAGAAGTCCTAGCTAACAGACTAACAAAGGTGGTAGATACTAGGGTAAATCCTTCTCAAACGTCTTTCTTGCCAGGGAGAAATATTTTTGGAAGGAGTTGTGGTGTTACATGAGACCATCCACAAGCTTCATCACAAAAAGAAAGATGGTCCTATCCTCAAGCTTGACTTAGAAAAAGCCTATGATAAGGTTAATTGGTCCTTTTTACAGCAAACCTTAAGATTGAAGGGCTTTTCGCCGATCTGGTGTAAATGGATTGAATCTATTGAGTAGGGGGAGTGTAGGAGTTAAAGTTAATGATGAGATGGGGCACTATTTCTAGACTAGAAAAGGGCTTAGGCAAGGAGATCCTCTCTTGCCTATCCTTTTTAACTTAGTGGCGGACATGTTAGTGATTCTCATCTCTAGAGCAAAGCGTGGAAGCCGACTCAAGGGGCTAATACCTAACTTGGTTGATGAGGGCCTGCCCATTTTGCAATATGCCGATGATACAATACTTCTTATGGAAACCATACAACATGTTTTCCTTGAATGTCACATTGCTAAGGGAGTGTGGAACTCTATGTTCGTTACGTTTAATCTTTAACCACCAAAGGATATAGTCCACCTGTTAGGTCCTTGGCTAAGGGCTTCCCTCCAAGTCTAAGAAATCAAATAATAGTGGGGGTCGCAGCAATGTGCTGGGCGGTGTGGTTAAGTAGAAATGATGTTGTTTTTAGTAGAGCAACAACTAACTCTTTCTCGTAGGTGATTTTTAGAGGAACATACTGGATTAGACTTTGGTTGCAGGTGTCTAAAGGAACATGGAACAAAGACAAATGAAGGAGGCTTGTCATATACTAGAGGTCTTGATGTTTGAGGTATTCGGAAAGCGTTGGTGGAGACATCACAATAGGATTGAAGATTTAGTGTTATGTTTTTTGTTTAGCGGTGGCTCCTGCTTGTGGAGCATTTTCGCCTTTATTTGTGTAATTCGGTTTTGGCCTCAATGCTTGTCTTGTCTCGCTTGGTCATACACATTCACCTATCTGAATGTTAGAGGCCGGATACTTGTTTCCTTAATTAAAAGAAACAACCGAGAATTTGTCCAAGATGTAGGCAGCCATGTTATTCTCTTAGCATGTGTTCTGTGTCGTAGCACGGACAGTAAAACAAAGTTATAACATGGAACCGCGAGCCAGCACATTGCACTTCAATAATGCACTGATGGTGATGCAATGCCATACAATCCAAGCTGTGGCGGAGCTAGGATTTGAACATAAAGGGGGCCGTTCAAGCCAATAACAATCATACATGAGGACATACATATATTCAAAGTATACATAACAACTAAATAAATGTTTTGTGTTATAATACAAAAGAAAACTAAAAACTAAAAAAAGAAGAAAAAATATTTTAGAAAAAAGGAACAAAATTAACTATCCCTGGGTCTCTAACGCTCATATAACAATCAATCTAATTCTTGTGCTAGAAAAAGAATCACAGTAATAACAGGCAGACCATTCCCAAATAATATAGGTGTTAATGGAGATCAATTCAGAAGAGAGTAAACAAGAAAGCA